GGCTTTTCTTCATTCTGGGCCCATAACCTGTTGTTTAAAATATAAATTATTGCAGCCTTTTTCTTTTTTTCTTCTTGTGATAACACAGGAGCATAAACATCTGACAGTGGTTTGTTAAAAGATCTGTGGTTTAATATACAATGAAACAACTACATTCAGGGACCATACAGAGTACAAGATAGTTATATACAAACGGTTCAAGTGAGCTAAAGATTCCAACTGCTATTCCCTCAGACACAGTCTCTTACAGGGATATTAAATTATAATTACCTTGACAAGACATGCATGTTGTTGGGAGGAATTCCCCCGTTTGGTTCTTCCAGCCGGGATTCTCCTTGACAGCGCAGTGCAGAAGAAATAGATCGTGAAGCCAGCTACCAAAAAGAGGTTTTATTTCGAGGATCAGCGTTGAGTGACAATTCAGCTCGAGTCCCCGGCTAGCTAGACAGAGTGATCTTTAAACAGGGGTTTTTATACCCTTTTGTGGTTTCCAAACTTGTCATTTCTGATTGGTAACAAACTTACCATTTCTAATTGGTGAGTTAAAATTTGTCTTTCTTGATTTGCTGGTTTGTGACTATTGTTAGTTCCTTTTTCTTGCCTAAAAGGTGTTAATTACTTTTATTGTTGTGTCCTGATTGCTGCTAGCTGGTTCCTCATTGTGTGTGTCAAGTGTTTGCTGTTTTAGCCTCAGGCTGCTGTTGACCCAGTTTAGTTGGGGTGTTCCTAGATTATTTCTTAGTTGGGCTGGGGAGGGGGTGTCCAACTCTCATCAATTCCCCCATTTTGGGCTATTACTGATGTATCAGTGATTAGCCCAACTGGTTCATATATACGGTAGTGGTGATCAATTTGGCACATCATGAGAGATGTTTTCTTACTCTGTCCCTTGCTTCTGATGGGAGTTGTGCAGACCTTTAGGCATTTTAACCCTAAAGGTGCTAATTGGCATAGGCAACAAAGGAGGGCTCCACCTATTGCGACTGTGATTATACTAACAATGAGAATTTTCAACCAATGGAAGTCTGGTAACCATGAAAAGAGCCAGGAAAGGTTCCAGGATGACTGGTTGTGCCCAATGTTTTGTGCTAGTTCTCTTAAATGTTGGATGTCACCTTTAGCTTCCAGTCAGGTTTGCATACCCCCCAAAATTCTTCACAGCCATGGTTTTCCTTAGTACATGGTTGCCCGTTTTTAGGGGTTGTTTCCTGCCTTAGCTCTTAATTCAGTGCATCCAGGTTTGTAATGTCCAATATGCCAGGCTATTAAATTTTTCTTTAAATTGCACATACTGAGCTCTAGGAATCCCAATCTGGGCTCACCAGTGCAAGATATTCAGGGCTGAAGTTTGGGATTTTTCCTGTTGTTTCCTTAGTCAGGGCATATGAATTGCAAATCACCTGAGGGGGCCTAGTTCCCTACCCCTTGGAATCTGTTGGAAGTTGGTCCCACAAAGCTTTGGTGCAATAGAGCAAAAATCAGCCTGGGGAACTTTACTGAAGGTAAGTGGAGGGGATAGACTCTGAATGGTGTGAATGGTGTATGTGTGCATATGCAGCTATTTCTACAAAACAGGCAATACAAACATTCTGGAAAAGTTTTCCCTCCCACCAGATAGAAGTCCAAGGTGTTCAGTACTTGTTCTGCCACCTATTCCTAAATGCCATCTCTCCATTAATACATTCAACTGGCTTGTTACAATACAAATGGGGCAAGAAAGAAAAGTTTACAATGAGTTTCCACCCTCCCCCCACAGTCTTAATTTTCTCTTCTGAGGCTTCACATGGCACCACCTTCCTTCTGCAGCTCTCACAGGCATCTGGGTAAATGGTAGGACTTGGGAAGATATTCCACTCAGATTGTTTGGTGGCTTTTTAGTGGATGGCTGGATTCAAAACTCAATTCCATGGCTCAAATGGATGGAGGCAGCATCTGGGTCTGTGTGTTCTCTTCCAAAGGCTTGGGAGAAGGTTTCAGGGCTGAAAGATACAAGAACAAGGTCTCCCCCCCCGCTTTCTGGGCGGAGTCTACCAGGAGAGGCAGACAAAAGGTATGGAGAACAAAGGGCAGGAAAAGAATTGGAAGGGGGGTAACTTGCAGGCAGTTTGAAAATGCTGAAAACTCCAAATAATTTTAAAAGCCTAATATTTTAAGGTGTGCAACTTTCCAGAGGTAGGAGAACATTTATTCTAAAATAGACCACATCATTTTAGAGATTGAGAAATGCTTATGTTTCAGAAAGCTTCATAGTAGTTTCACCAGTAAGTGATAGGATAAGAAAAGTAACTTTAAAAAATTATTTCCCCACACAAGCAGACTTGAGTTTCAAAAGGCTCTTGTAGATAGACACACATTTTTCAGGAAAAGGAAAGATAAAACACATACAGTAAATGCAAGTGAAACTTTTCCAACAGATAAACTAAAAACAATCCCTCCTGGTAACTTAAGGCTGTTCTTGAGCGTACACAGAGAGAAAGAGGAAAACAAACAAACAAACAAACACCATTCTTTTTCTTCACTCTGTTTGTTGGCCAGACAAACAGAGTGAGGTATTTCCTTTTTGTGGCTTATTTTTAAGCATAATTTCTAGCAGAATTTAAAATTCTTTTTTCTTTGGATTTGAAACAGTTAACAGTCACATTTACCTCTCACGCACAGACTTTGACAAACATATATACACAAAGACAAGCGAACAGAAGTCTTAGTTTTACACATCCTAGTCATTCCCACCATAAATTTCAGATAACTCAAGTTAGGGAAGGCACATATTTTAAACATACCACGTGGTTGCATAGAGAAGAGAGAGAGAGAGAGAGAGAGAGAGAGAGAGAGAGAGACAGAGAGACAGAGAGAATCACTATTTCTTATTTTCCCTTTTAAGTACCTTTATTTAGCCAAATTGGTTTCCCAGCAAGGCCCTAAGCAAAGTCTTTTCTTTCATACACTACACAGTCGAAGTCTCCTTGTGAGACTTCTTTCCTAACTTTGCATTGCTTACAGGGCCTTACCAGCTAGTTGCCCAAATCCAATTCTTTCATTCACTCATTCCATTTCATTTTCACACATTCTCTCCCTTTTCCCTAACAAAAGGTTCTGTGCTCTGGCCAACCCCCATGCTTTCCAGGTTCTGCCAATTAAACAGATCCTTTCTGCGTCTAGGAAAGACCAGAAGCAGCAAAATCCAATTGTGAGTGTCTACAATAGACTTTATGGTCTCTATAACGGTTTGAGGATCCGCACGAAAGGTGGCAGTATCCTTTTTCCAAACAACCAAATCGGACGGGGAGAAAGGGGTGTGGGTTAAAATGTGTCCTGTCTGGCCCCTCGGTCGCCCGGGTATGGGCCTGTTCAACAAGGGGGCCATGAAGGTCGGTTCAGGGTTATCTAAGGGAGGCTGGGGGTCCAAGTTGACTTGGGTCGGGTTCCTCTGTCTGGATAGTTCGACCCAGCAATACCAGTACGGTAGTTGGGTTGGCTCTATCCTTGACCTAAGTTCTTTTAGTATTCTGATTTCTAGGGTGCCACCTTCGGGCCAAATTTGTCTCCCGCGGTCATCTTTAAGCAAAGCCCATTTCCTACATAATTCCCCTAATCGCTTCTTCTTCATTCCAGCCTAGACAGGAAGCTGATTCCTGTCCCAGGCTTCGAGCAAGCTCTCAACTGGGAAACCCACTTCGGCCCTTGAATTGGAACTCCCCAACCTTTTATAACGGGGTTTTAAACCCACTTCAGCCCTTGAATTGGAACTCCCCATTCTTTTATAACGGGATTTTCCTTTCAATGTTAAAGGGCACTAACAGTCGAAGTCTCCTTGCGAGACTTCTTTCTCCTAATACAGTCGAAGTCTCCTTGCGAGACTTCTTTCTCCTAATACAGTCGAAGTCTCCTTGCGAGACTTCTTTCCCAATACACAGTCGAAGTCTCCTTGCGAGACTTCTTTCCCAATACACAGTCGAAGTCTCCTTGCGAGACTTCTTTCCCAATACAGATTCTCGGAGGTGAGCGGCCACCTCTGCTCGGGGCTACTGCTTTAATATTTACTGGCAGAAGGGGTCCTGGCTTGCCCAGAATAGAGTTTTCTCTCTCTTTCTCTGCCCGCTCGGTCCTCCTCTCTCACCAGAAGGTCTCACGCTCCGGTGCCCCCCCCTTGCTTTCCCGAATTCCACCGGTCACGGCTCTACTAGAGCTAGCAGCAGGTCGGGGTGCGGCTAGAGGGCACACGGAGGGAGCGAGCTCCAGCTGATTCTAAGAGGAGGATGCCTCACATACACACTCATGCATTCTTCCTTTCGTTCCCCCAGACCCTTTAACCTAATAGATTTAAATTTGGTGGCACTTACCCTCTTTCCTGGTAGCTGTTCGAGCATAAGACTCAAAAACTCCCTTTGCTACCCGATGCCGACCGGGCAGGGTCCGAGGAGGCTTCCCCACGGATCAAAGTGTCCGCTGCCGGCTGGGTGATGACTCTTCCGGGCCCGGTCCGGTGGCTGGGTGAGCTGGGAGTCCCTTTGTAGGTCGCCAGATTGTTGGGAGGAATTCCCCCGTTCAGTTCTTCCAGCCGGGATTCTCCTTGACAGCGCAGTGCAGAAGAAATAGATCGTGAAGCCATCTACCAGAAAGAGGTTTTATTTCGAGGATCAGCGTTGAGTGACAATTCAGCTCGAGTCCCCGGCTAGCTAGACAGAGTGATCTTTAAACAGGGGTTTTTATACCCTTTTGTGGTTTCCAAACTTGTCATTTCTGATTGGTAACAAACTTACCATTTCTAATTGGTGAGTTAAAATTTGTCTTTCTTGATTTGCTGGTTTGTGACTATTGTTAGTTCCTTTTTCTTGCCTAAAAGGTGTTAATTACTTTTATTGTTGTGTCCTGATTGCTGCTAGCTGGTTCCTCATTGTGTGTGTCAAGTGTTTGCTGTTTTAGCCTCAGGCTGCTGTTGACCCAGTTTAGTTGGGGTGTTCCTAGATTATTTCTTAGTTGGGCTGGGGAGGGGGTGTCCAACTCTCATCAATGTCATATTACCTGATAAGTGATTTCAAGTGGTTCCAATGTAAAAATTATACATGAAAAGAATTCATGTCTGGTTTAATGATTCCTCTTTTACCGATTTCCCCTTATGAAGGAATAAGTTTCATTAAATGCAGTGGAATTGGGTTATTTGTAAACACTCTTTAAAGACGTTATTGGCCACTTCAGCACAGTTCTTTTAATCAATGTTTTTTAAACCAATGAGAGTACAAGATTCCAGAGCTCTGTTACATCACAGGAATTCAGTCAAGTTTGAAATGTTTTAATGTATTTAGCATATGCGTAGGATGACAGACTGCTGCTTCCCCCGAATCGTGTGAAAAGATTCCCAATAATGCGGAGAATTTATATCCTTTCTGAGACGGACTTCCTACTTCCGAAATCTCCCAAATACCGTACAATTCCAAAACTACAAAACTTGTCTCCTTTCCCCTTCTGAAGAGGGGGGAGGGAGAAGCAAGCAGCGAGGGACGGTGAGGAGGGAAAACCGGAGTGCTGCTATTAATAGCTTCGTTCTGCGATTGGCTTAAGGTAGCAAGAAAAAAAAGGTCTGTACCACGTGGGTTACTATGTGAAAATTCCAAGATGGCGCATTCCGTCACGGGCTGACTCCGTTGGCGGCGTGCGCACCGTAGCGGTAGCGCCGAGGACCGTTCTAGTCCTTTTCCTCGCCAACGGCGACTTCCGTGGGAGTCATTCGTTCTTTATCCTTGTTTTCTTCTGTTTCCAAACACAGGTCAGTATCTGGCGCGGAGGCTTCCTGGAAGATTGCGGTATGATGCCAGTTATTGCCCAATCGTTATGGCATCTTTCCTTTAAACCATGTAGAGAGGTTGCGGCGCAAGAGTCTCCTCCTGCGCCTTTAGCACTGGGAATGGATATTCAGGGCCATGGGGTGACTGACGCTTTAGAGCACCAATCGGGGCCTCATTCGAAGGCTGGCGGGTGCTTTTGAGCCATCATGCGAGTCGTACTCTCTTTGGACATCGGTTCCGTGGGGGCCGTCGAAGCCAGGGTGGAGTTGGGCTTTTTTAGCAAGCAGCCGTTGGAAGGCGGGACTTAGATCGACATTGCTCCCATCTTGTACCCCTCCCCTCCCTTTGCCGTGAATGGCAGATGGCACCCTCTCGGCTTCAAGGAAGCGTGTGTTTTGAGTGTTGTCTGTTTATTTGCATTTTTTTGTGAATGAAGCAGGTGGATCCAAGGACCGCACCCGTCTAGCGGCTCCCAAGAAACCCATTTCTCCTGCTTAACCGGGGCTGAATGAGCAACGGCTGGACGGGTAAGATGCAGCTATCATGGAAACGCCCCTCGGAGTGAGGCTAGGCGGTGCCCCTCCCAACAATCCCGGCGGCGAAGGCCAAGCGGGTGGAGGAAGGAAAGGCCGAGGCGCTAGGAAGGACATCCGGCCGTGTGGCCGGCCGGGAAGAGATCTTCAATTTTCCCGTCATCAACTCACTGTAGAGGATAGGCTATAATTGAGAGATTTCTAGTCCCGGTGATAGACCCAAATTCAATTTCGCATCATTATCCTGGACACGTATATTTGCCTTCATTCGATAGGCCGTAAATCTATCTCGCATCTTTTCGTAGAACGGAGTACTGTTTTAATTTAAATATATTGCCACACCTAGTAAGATTAAATAGTGATATTGCCAAGGAATGAAGGGGGAACTACAATAAATCTACAGCAGCGAGACAGCAGTTGTAAAGAAAAATGTGGATCTTTTTACTCAGTAACAGACGTAAGGTCCCATTAAATGCTTTCATTTGGGTGGTGTTTGCTTCAGTCAGATGCATAATGGTATAATTGGATATATACGAGAGCATTTGCAGGCTGTATATTGGACTGGAAAGGTTTTGATCTCCGTGCATGGGAGTTGTGGGCTCATTTGCCTAATCCCTGTATATTGACAAAAAATTACCCTGTTAAAAGAATGGGGAGTTAGGAGATTTTTGGAGAAAGGGTGAGCAATAACAGTTTAATAATTTTCATGCCCTCCATATAATAGCCTCTATGAAGGTGTACTGCTTCTTTTACAGTAGATAGCCTGCTTATTGCACTAATTGCAGTATTTTTCTATAGTATGTGGCAGACACATCTAACAGATAAAGATAACATCTATTATTAGTAGGTTATTTGCAACTTAACAGGACTCGTATATAGATCTTAGTTATAGTGATATCCTTCTAGTTTCTTGTCCAGTACTGTATATCTCACTAGCTATATCTTAGATAGAGTGAATTCTTCATGTACATAAAGTCCTATGTCCAGGCTGACATTTCTGAATATGGAGGATCTTGAATGGGATTACTGGAACTACCTCTTGGCCATAGAGTTGTTGCTTGTTACATAGCAGTGGGTAAGGTAAAACCTACTGATGTAAGACAATTTTTTATGTATCTATATATGTGTGTGTGTGTGTGTGTGTATTGCTCTTTTTCTTTGAAAAATGCTGTCATGTGTTTGCATGTGGGAGTAACTGCATTCCTTCTGTTTTTTTGAATCAGTGCAAGAATTAGTAATGACACTTCATTTAAACCTACTGCTGATACAAATGGGTCTATCTGTCCGCATTTGTTATTGTGTGGATGTTTATGGAACACTGAGATGCAAGCAAGTTTAGCAATGAACATAAAAATGATAATGATACGTTTGATAATTGTAACATTTGCCAATTATATTTTTGTATGTGATGCATTTTCCACTTGAAAATTTAACAAAATATTATGCTTTGTATATGTGTACACATATTTCTATTACCTATTTTTGTTATCTACTCCTCTAAATTTTGTTAGCTGTAAAAACTCATGCCACGGTAGTTTGGATACTGTTCAGGTTATTGAATGGTTTTCAGTTTTGCCAAATTAATTTCATTAGGTTTCTTTGTTGTGTTTTAAAGATGGCTTTCTTGCATTTAGAGTTTCTTTGAACCTTTATCCTTTCACTGATTCTACCCAGATGTTTTTCACAGCTTCACATTACCTTCTTATATATGGGGATCTTAATTCTTCTCTTCCTTCAAGTTTCCCCCACAGTTTACCTTTTCCACCTAGTCCAGTGGTTCTCAACCTTTCTAATGCTGCGACCCCATAATACAGTTCCCCATGTTATGGTGAACCCCAACCACTTATACATCACCAGGTGCCAGGGGCGTGGCCAAAGAAAAGGGGGAAAAAATGGCGGACAGCCTTGCTTGGCGACCCCCGTGAAGTGGTCGTTCGACCCCAAATGGGGTCCCGACCCACAGGTTGAGAACCACTGACCTAGTCTGTGGCTTGCCTAAAAAGGATAAGTTATTGGAAGGTTAAAAGCAATGAAAATTAAGCCAGCTTTTAGGGGAAATCTTGCTCTGTATCACATGTATGCATTTCCTTCCCTCATTCAAGAAGAAACAGGAAAAGAGAAGAAAACAAAAAAATCAATAGTAGAAATGGGGTACTTTTTTTCTATAAGTTATAGAGAGAAGGGAAGGCGATAGAAAGGGAGAAATAAAACTGGGTGGAGAAGGGCTATAAGAAAGATGAATCCAATAGGGGAAAAAAGTTATTTTTAACATTGGGTCTTACAACAGTGGGTTATTTACTTATTTATTTTCTATAGCTGTTCATAATAACCCAGTGACTCTGGGGAACAAATGTCTATTGTCAAAAGTGTGGGAATTAGTGAGAAAAAGTTGTTAATATGTGATGCATTCTGGCTTTCAGCTCCTTGATGTAAACTTTGGTATAATGCTTATCTCAGAGATGTAAGTTGGTATAATAATTTAAATTATTATTCTGTTAAAGAGGCATAATTTCACCAGAGGGGAACAGGCTTTCTTGGTAATGAAATGGTGGGGTTAGATATAAGAGCAAAATGGGTGCATTTAGCCATGCAAAAACTCAAGGCATCCATTCCCCCTCCCCAAATATTTTGGGATAAAGATTAGTGCATCATGAAAATTATTTTGGAATGCAGTTGTGGTTTTAACTGGAATATGTATATTTATATTCTGTTCATGTTTTATCATTCTGTGCTTGTCTAATGCTTGAAAACTATGGTTTTTAATATTACTGATAGTTCTTAGAGGGCAATAATACCATATAAAATGTATCAAATACATGAAACTGGGAAAAATAGGTCTGAGTTTTAAAGGGAAGAAACAAGCCTAAGAGCCCCTATTGATCCCAGTAAACAGTCTCACATACCTTGGAGCAGGCATGTCCAGCCTGTGGGCAGCATGTAACCCTGGACAGCTAATAATGCAATTCCACAAATTATAGACTTTTAACATTATCATGTGATTTATATATATTAACTATATTATATATTTTATATGTGGCCCAAGACAATTCCTTTTCACTCAATGCAGCCCAGGCAAGCCAAAAGGTTGGACATCCATGACTTGAAGCCTGAGTATCTTCAGGACTGTTAAATCCACATAGAATCTGCTTACCAGTTAAGTTCTAACACAAGGGTGTCCTGCAGTTCTCTACATGTTGAGAAGTGACACATGGAGGCTGAGAGATGAGCATTCTCTTTTATGGCTTTTCTCCTTTGGAAAAACTTGTTTGTTCCCTGAGATGAAGATTGCTTCTTTTCTGAAGATATTTAGGAAAATTGTTAAAATGTTGCTTTTCTATAGAGCCTTCATAACTATGTGAGAAAGACTTTAGGTGAATTGTGTTTATGTTTCTCTTGTAATTGAAAGGATGGTATGCATATTCTGAGTGCTACATTACTTTGGCAGTTATTGATTAAGGATTGCATTTTCTTATGTTTCTTATTCTGTTTATCCTGTATTTATTGGAAGCTGAATAGAATTTAACACTGAGGCAGTATATCAATAAATAAAATTGGGAAATCATTGTGTTGAGGGTGATTCTAAATGGTAAATAATAACTTTGATTTATATATTGCCTTGCTTAGTCAGAATGACTTTAAAGTAGCCTTGCTCCCATCAAAATGAACAGAAGGTAAATGCTTATTATAGATGAAGTATGGAAGATTGACTGGAAAGTGAATGCTATAGAGGTGGTTTTGTGGGTTGCATGGATCTTGTCCTAATTTATTTAAATCCTATGTACTTCACTGCCAGGCTAACAAACAAAACACAATCACTGTGCATTGTATAAATGAGGATAAACCAATAGTCTTATTGGACTCTCAGTAATTCCTTCCTCTGTCTTTATCTCTTGAGGTACTGGACTAGAAGGCTACTCTTTTATTGCTTTTCTCCTCTTATTAGTGTCTGGCATTTTAGTGCCAATTTCGTATTTCCAATTAAATATGCATATGTCAAGTGTTCTTTTCCATAGTTTTGCTTCATTAGTTACTGTTACTATTTCTCTTCCAATCTCTTTATTAAAGTTTATAATTAGCATTTATTTTCATCTCCATTATTATGAATGTTCAAAATGTTCTGAGCTTTAAATAATTTGTGCTTGGAAAATCCATTTTGAGTACTTCAGGCTTACAACAAAACATGGCTCTTCCGGTTTTTTTTAAAGTACTATGTATTATCTCCTTGTATATATAGTAGTAAGCTGACTCTTGGAATTTTAACCAAAATATGAAAAATACACCGTCTGCAGATAGGCTGATCCTTATCATTTTTAAAAATTTTAATTTTTACTACTAGCTGGTCCATAGGTGGCACATTTTTTCATAGTATTTTGAGGGTACCATTTGAGGGTCTGCTTAACCACAAGTATATAAGGGACATATAAGCACTTTTAAAAAGCTGAAGGCAACACCTACTATATATACTCACAGATAAGCCTGTATGCAGATAAACCAAATCCAATGTTTTTGTATATTTTAGTATCTAACATTCTTGGTTAATCTGCAAATTTATGCAGTAAGCTTGGGATGCAACATTGTGTTTCATTCTACAGTTGGTTTTAAAAGTCCTAAAACTGTGGAGTCTGTAAAACAGCAAGCAGAAATTCTGTTTTTGCTGCATCTACTTGATAGATAGATGCAATGGAGTGAAAATTGGTTAAGTGCATGTGAGGATTTGAAAATATTTTTGAACTGCTACTTCATGGAGATGCAAATTGGAGAATCAATGGTGACCTCCCAGTGACCACACTTCCCATCCTATATGAAATAATATTTAAGGGATGTAGAAATAATTAGCAGGAAAAGAGTCTTCTTTCTTCTCTGCTTTATCTTCCCTCTCTCTCCTTCCCTCCCATCCTTCTTTCTCCAACTTTCCTCACAGTTATATGTATTGTAAAATCTATATCTCCAAAAAGCTTTGCTTGTTTGCTTATTTGAGGGAGATGTTCAGTTAG